TTTTTTTTTTTTTTTTGAATGTCCAGAGGACCAGATTGAACTTTTTTAGAGTTGCTGTAATATGTTGTTATTAATATTTGATGCTGTGATCTTTTTTGGTAAGCACTTTCAGGGATGAAGATGTTCACATCCTGGACAGAGAGGAACGATGGTTTGAGAGAGGAGTAAAGGAGGCCATCTTTGTGAAAAGAAATCGTCCATCATTAAACAGGGGTGGAGGCCTCCGTGTTCAACTGTCCCCCTCTTACAATGCTGTTATTGCTAGTATCACTCAGCCCTCTGTGAACAGTAAACAGCCATCAGTGTGCTAATGATCCATTGTTAGGCTGATGGTCCTTCTTGAGCATGTGATCAGCTGGTTTTGGTTGTCAGCAGCAAACTGGTTGATCCACTCTGAGAAGGTGCTATTTAAGAGACTGAGCTGAATACAGCTCCTCAGACTGAGGAAGTCTCTCGGATAAAAGGGAGACTGCAACAAAGCCAAGATTCAACGTGTCTGCTGGATTCCTTAGATAGAGAACTTTACTAATTGGCTTTTATGTATGTGAATGTTTCTGTAAAGTGCCCTGAGACAACTTTGTCGTGACTTGGCGCTATATAAATAAACTGAATTAAATTGAAGACAAAACGTTTCTACATTTTTTTGTTTTGCTTTGGGTTTTTTTTTGAATGTCCAGAGGACCAGGTTTAACTATTTTAGATTTTTCTACCTGGATTATTGAGCATGCATCAGGATACAGTATCTGTCAGTTTTACAAATATTGACCTAGAATGTGGTGTGGTAGTAACTCAGACTGATCCCAACACATGATCTGAGTGCTACAGACTAGCAAAATTTTTGTTGGAACTTTTTGGTCAACTCCATCTGTTAGCAAAATATCTCATGGCTGTCAAAGGCAATGTTTCAGTCAGTTTTACAGAAGTTAAACTTTGGTATGGTAGTAGCTGAGAGTAATTCCCAACACATACCCCAACGGCTCACCTGGTGCTGTGGGTTATCCAAGCGACTGGAGGAGGGTGAGAGGAGCAGAGCCCCAGCGGGTCTGCCGGACTGGGCCAGCAGCCGCAAGAGACAGTAGGTCTTCATGGTCCAGACTAACTGCTTACAGCTGAGACACAATGTGTACAGTACCAAAAGGCGTCTTATTATTAAACAAAGTGAACAAATAATGACGTCATTTGAGTAAATTACATCAAGAGTAAAAAATGTAACAGAAATACAAAATTATATAATAAGCTAGTACTAATATAATGTTATACCAACATAAAAAACATAGAGAGGATGGATTACGTACCGGTAATTCAGTCTCCTTCAGAACTGGACGCTTCCATATTGGAAATCTGACCGTCGCATTTTCCGGTTCCTACGCACAAATCCCTCCGCCAAAACAACAGAAACATTGCCGTCACATATTGCGTTCCGACACAATTAACTTTATTTTTCTTCCCGAGTTTTGTTTAAAAGTTAAATATGTCAATTCAATACTTCGTTCTGGTATTTTTTTTTATTTATAAAAAAGCGTGTAGTGATTCGTGTGTTGCCATTGTGCTTGCTTAGGATGGGAGACTGAAACGAAGCCAAGATTCAACATGTCCTTTTTCACGACAACCGGAAGTAGCGTCTCATGTTTGAACCCGGTGTCTCCCTGAGTCCGTCTCCCCGGTTCAACCATACATGAGGAAAAATGTCTGTTTTCAACGTCTTTACTTAATTTGCCAGCCTTTTCTTTCGCTGATGCGGAGGAAATCGCGGCGGCAAAATCGCGACCAAATAAACTTGAGAAAGGATAAAAGTTCTTCCATGAAGAATATATCCACAGATATCAAGGTAAGAAAAGACCTAGCTTAGCGAGCTAACCGTTAGCTACAACATATGAAGTACATAAACATCGTAATAAAGCCTAATTTAGTGTGCTAAATTATTTGGAGTATTTGGAGACGTGGTATAAACTTTTAAATGATATTTTAACATTCTGATATGTGTTTGCCATTACAATTTGTGAAAGAAAACGTACTAGGTGTTAGTTATGAGATGTTATGATGCTCGATGTTCAAATTGTGCTTTACTTCTGCATAACTACAGGTCAAATATTGTTGAGGGACAGGTAGTTGTCAGAGCTAGATGCTTCAGGTCCATGAAGAAAAATGAGGAACCACAGACTGCAGGTTTGAAACAGTCAGAAAGCCGGTTGGCTCATGTTCATTAGAGTTCCTGTTCATTTCTGACAGCTGAAGAACTTTGACATATGATGGACAAGTTCAGCACAGTTTGTGTTTTGTTCTGCTGCTGTTGCAGCTAAATATGTTATAACAAGTATTAATGTCATTGAATGTGCTAAAAACAGTTATCTGTTTTAGATCTGACTGGGTGTTGACAAGGAGAAGGCTGATTTGTTGGATTATTCCTGTAGTTGTGCTGCTGGTAAAGGTTTTTGCAACCATGTAGTTGCACTTCTTTACCAGACTGCACAAGTGATTTGCAAAGATGGCACAGACCGAGAACACAGGTATGATTCTCATAATAACAAGAAAAACATTTTGTCGTAATCTCAATATTACTTGTGACAAATGTATTTTTTCTGGTCTAACTTGTTTGGAATTGTTACTTTTTGAAAATGATTTGAAATAAAAAAATGCAGGCTCAACCTGCCTTTATTAATTTTTTCAGTTTATTTGACTTTTTTTTTTGTTTGTTTCTTGTAAGGGGATCCATCCTGAACCTGCCAGCGAGGTGGTGGTGGTACGAAGGCCCAAAACTGTGGGGCAAAGATGTCTGCACTCCACGCTTTACAGAGCTCTCACAGGTATAACCTTTGGGTTAGTGTTTTTATGCCTGTTTCCTTTGTCAAAACGTATTGTGATTATGTCACTCGTGTGTTTGTAGGACCACTCCCAGATCCTGACATCCTGGCTTCGGGAGAAAAACTATGCCAGCTGGAGTCCCAACCTCTTATTGCTCTTGTCTTAGATGGTCTCTCAAGTTTGGAGCTGGTACCATCCAAATTTGGTCCCGTGCCACAGGGCTCACCCATGTCTTACCAGTGCCCACCTGAGAAGTCCTGCGGTAGCATCATCCTGCACCACATGGCTCCAGACCTCCCTGCTCTTCCTATAATGCTGCATAGTCTTTCCAACATGTGTTTTGTGCCCACACTCAGTCAACTTATGCATCTTCAGTCTCTGCAAGTATCACTGGAAATGTCTTTTGAAATAGAGACCAGAACCAGGGAGCAGTCATGATGTCCTGCATGGGTACAGCTTCGACGACCAAGGATTACTGCTAGCTGTTTCTGTGTTGCTTGCAGAGGAAGTGCGGAGGAGGAGTCTGCTGCCATATCAGTAACAGGTCGGATGTTCAGGGGGTCCACTAAACAAACTGCTGCCATGAAGCGTGGCCCGCAGATGGAGTCGGAGGTGCTGGCTAACTATGCTTACATGATGAGGGTCAACGTGCTCCCGTGGGATTCATTGTTCGCCCCGACACATCATATCTTGGTGCAACTCCAGATGGCAGGGTGTATGACCCATCAGAATCACCACCATTTGGACTGGTAAAAATCAGTACTAAGAACGATGTGTCTCAAGTTGCTCCCCTCAAGGTTCAGGATGGCCATGCAACACGCATACTACTGGCAGGTGCAGGGTCAGCTGGCAATCACTGGGTTGGAATGGTGCGACTGTCACTGACACGCAACAATTACTGTGGAGCGGATATGGCGTGATGAGTCATTCATCGATCAGATGAAATGTAAACTGGACATGTGTTTAACTTTTACACCTTCATTGATGTCAATGCATCAAGAAACATAAAATGTAAATACGTTCAGTCTTAATGTGTGAATCACTGTAAATAGTGTAAATAGTTATTAATCATGAAAAACACAAATGTGCCAATTTCTTGAAAATTAAATTGCATAATTTGGGAAAAATATCTAATCCACCATCAATTTATAGTGTACAGTTATAAAATGTTCACTTAAATAGTTGTGTTTGTTTTTTTTACTAGATATTGTAAATTACCTTTGCAATTAAATTCACAAATTAAATAAAAAAGAAACGGTACAGTATGCTGCTCAAGAGTGTTTTAATTGAAGAATGTTTAAAATAATTCAAAAGATTTGCTGGTAAATGATTACATAACACTAGAACAATTTACATACATATTAACATAACTAAAAGACAAAAGGATGGTTCATGGTAACACAAGAACAGAAAAACACCCACAAGCTGCGATGCATGAGACACGAGTGGAAGGTAACCTACATGAGACCGTCACTGGACTGCCACCTTCAGCCTTCAACCTGGAGCATAAATATGAAATCAAATAAACAAAAAAATAAATGTGAATATTTGAGTTGCACAATATTTGAGTTGAACCCAGCAGATCTTCTCTCAGGTAAGACACTGCCTAATTCTGGTGACTCAAGCAGGCCGTGAGAGTCCACTAATGCAGGAATGAGCAGAATGAGAACAACTGACCCGGAGCAACAAATTAAAACGAGCATTCAAAACTACAAAAATGAGCAGCAAAGCAAAACAATTTAGTCTGCAAAACAAAACGGGCCTTGATAATTTGACAAAACACAACAGTTGTGCCAGATCTGATTGACAGTTCCTATTAAAGCGAGTGGCACAGGAGAATCCCAGATGTGGTAGCTCTTGACTCTGGCGATTACTCGCTCCACAACGATCCTCAGCCGAGCAATAGCTTGGGTCTCCTCCGTCTCTTTTTTGCTGAACTGGCCGGGATGCCTAAATGGTGGAATTATGAGTTTGGCTCCAACTTCATCAAGGAGGTCTTGAATGAGGAAGCCTTTATCTGCCATGACTTCATCCCCCGCCTCAAGCAGAGGAAGGAGTCCACTGACCTTTGTGACTTCTTTGTCAGAGATGCAGCCTGTGAACAACGCTGAAATAAACGTCACCAACCCACAGGGAGCAACTCCGATCAGCCCTTTCAGAGTGGTGCGGTTCTTGTAGGTTGAGAACGCTTCGGACTGTAAAGTGAGGGATGATGCGGTCTCCAGAGCAACTTCTGTGCAGTCCAAGATGACACGCACATTTGGAGAGAACTTCAGGAATTTTTGAGGCATACTGGCTTTTACCTTCTCACGACTAATCCACATGTTGATGGAAGCAAATACGATAAAAAGGTAGTTGGCCCAGGTGATGGTCACTCGGCTGACAGTAGCAACGCTGACTTGAAACATGTCGGCAATAAGCTGCTCCTTCATGCCCACTGCGACCCTGAATGAGTACATCAAGAACTCGTCAATCAAAGGCATGCAGCGGGCAGGGCTGGGTTCAGCAGATGCTTCCTCTCCAAGTTTCTGTGCTCTGGTCCAGTACACAATGTGAGTTGCAGATGGTGCAATGGACTCCCAGAAGATCTCAAACACACACACAGAAGGAAATTTGGTGTAGAACCGGATCTGGTCATCAGAGGCGCAGTAACAACTGAAAAGTGTGGGAGACAAATCCACTTTCTGAAGTTTGGCTTCCAACTCCTTGATGTAATCCAGTGCTTCATCAAGTGCACCTGTGAAAACACAAAATAAAATAATAGCATAAAATACGGTTAGCAAGATTGTTTCAATTATTGAGCTTATTATTGACATTATTATTATTGTTGACATTATTTATGTGAAGATAAACACATTCGATCTCTCTGGCTTACATGACCAATGTACATAACGTACCATCTTCATGTGATATTTACCTGTGGGTGGATGTGCCACATAATCATGGTCCCCAGCAGCAGCTTCAGCCTGGCTCTCAGTCTGTGACAGGACAAGCTGCAGTTTCTGTGCCCTCTCAAAAGCAGACTCTCTCTTGGGCGGTGCAGTGAAATTATTCCAGGTAAATAGAGAAGGAACAGCTCCACTTTTAAGGCGGATGGTGGTGGATCCGCGGACAAAATCCTCCTGAGTGAAATGCCGGCTGCATACAAAAGTGCTCCCTGACTTTATGCAGAAGTTGGGACCCTCGTCTCTTCTAATCGCTAGGACCCACTGCCTCCTTTGGTCTGGGTCCATAGGGAAAGCATGGTAGGACAGATATGGTTGTTTTCTTGCCCCACAAGAACAGCAAGGAACTGAACAAAAGCAACCGCGCCGAGACTGAGCCATTTTCGTCACTGTCTAATGCTCACGCTTTATCCTGACTGAGGAAGTCTCTTGGATGAGAGACGAAACGTTTCTACATTTTTTTGTTGTTTTGCTTTGTTTTATTATTTTTTTTTTAATGTCCAGAGGACCAGATTTAACTTTTTTAGATTTTTCTACCTGGACTAACGCTGTAGCCACCGGAAGTTGTTTAACTCCACATCCGCTTTAAAACCCGGAAGCGTGAAAAAGGTCTATCGG